GCAACAAGTTGTGAACATTTTTAGCCAAAACGTTGTGACAAAGTTGACAAAAATAATTTGTATGATTATGGTGCAGATACAACGAAAATAAACTTACAGGTGAATGAAAACCGCCAACAGCCAGGCAGAAGAGGAAGGCAGGGTAGGATTCCAGGCTGGTGAGGAGGTCACAAGAGCGACGTTAACATCAACCTGCTTCTTTGTTGTCGATGAAAGAACATGACATAATGCTGCTGACATGGATTACATTACCTTACTATACTTACGTGTTTTGGTGTGCCCGCTGGATGCAGTTGAAAATGTTCCCAGTTTCTGGGTCGTTGCTGTACATCTGAGGATACTGCAAGGCGTGACAAGTTCATTCGTACAGGACAGCACCTTTCAACAGGTAGCCTCCACTGTGCTCCATATTTGAATACTCACGTGCACATTGTACTTCTTCCTGGCTTTGCCAACTTTAATGGCCAGATGTGTAACCATGACCATACTAGCCATGCCAGTCAACACCACATATCCATAGTCTTTGGAAAGCACAACCATCCTGACAGACCTGGAAAATGAATTAGAAATATATTGTGGCTCATATCGAAAGTACTCATTACACTTTTATTTTGGTAAGAAAGGCAACGCAAGGGTTTCCTCCCCCGGCTAACACATAAAACAAAGTGTCCATTTTCGGACCCTCTAACAACACAATTACCTCGAACACCTGAGGAGAAAATTAGCCGTGCAGCTACCGGCGCAGATAAAGGACGTCTCTCAAACGAAAGGTCAAACGAGAAACACCAGCAGCACCATGACTCGTCAGGGCTGCTTTGAAAGCGCACGAATTACAATAAACATGAACACACTCACCTTGACGAAGCAACCAAAGTTCACAGATACAACCCTGGAAAACACCGACCACCGTGAAGTTTCCGTCTGAATATATCTGCATGCGTGCGGCTTACGTAACATTCACGGGGGGGCGTGGCTAACAGCCCACTACTGGGATATCTACGTTTCAATTCAGTTTTATAGCTAATGCGTGTTAAAGGTTAGCTGTAAGACTCGTAAGGATAGACCGAAGCCTTTTTTTTTTTAAATAAGCACATCATTGCGGAAGTAAAGACTCCTCACGCCACACAGGCTTCACATTGACCACAACCCTGTAGGCAAATACTAACACCGACTCATTATATACGTGCGCGTATATGTGCTAAATGTCAGCGATCCAAGTTATCTTATCATAGCACTGCTCCACATTTCCTGATTAGTTCCGCCTATCTTACATGCAAACCTGCTCCCCAACAGGACTGACCAGCGTGGGACTGTGCTACCAGTAACTTGCAGTTAACTTCACCTCCGGTGTTACTAAAGTTGTACGTTTTTGTATTTGTTTTTTATTTTTTGAAGTAGGGGAGTTCATGATTTTTTAAGTGGGCGGTGCAAGGAGGAACAAAGGACAACACAGGGGGAGGAGGTGCCGGAAATGAGGATGTGTAACCAGAAGTTAAAATGGATTGCTGTGATTTGCAAAGCGTCAAAAACAATAGTTTGGGGCTTTTTAAATAAGTAACAACACAATCTTTCTACTTAAGTAAAAGGATCCCTGAAGTATTGAAAGTGAATGTACTCCAACTGACCTTTGATGATTGGATGATGGTTATTAATTTACTGATTGTGTACACAAGCTGGAATTTTTATTTTTATTATTATTATTATTATTATTTTGTTAGCCATTGTTTTTCTTTTTTCACTTTTCTTTTTATTGTTATTGTCCGCAAGCCAAAAATATTTGGGGTACAGCATAAAGTCGAGCCTAACTGCCCAGAAGCACGGATTTCTTAAAGGACATAACCTTAGAAAAGAAAAAAGCCCATTTGAAATAAAAACAAAACAAAACATAATTTGATAACATGAGGGTAGTCTGCTCCTCTTGAAAATCAGAGTTTACGCTACCCGGACACGATTTATGTGGCAACGTTTACTGCAGAGTTAATCCCTTTCTGACTTGGCGTGCCAGACAAAAGTGGGAACCCAGTGTCATTAACGATGGCCCCATTCTTTTGAAGTGACTTATATTAGCCATGTCAGTGAGCCAGCTCACAACAACTGGTGCAGAGCGCAGATTTTCTTGGCTGGAGTGCAGCCACATTATTGTGCCCTGTGATGAGGGGAACAGGGATCTGACATGCCAGGGTTTCTTGTATCAAATATCAGGTCAAGTTGAGGTATGCGCACCACTGTTAGAGGTGTCATTGGTTCAGTGACATTTAATAGTTTATATAGCACCTTTACACAAAAAAGTCAAAGGTCAAAGGCCTCTGTGAATAAGTAACATTTCAACTGCTTTTTGAAAATTTTCAAAGACAGAGTGTTTTAGAGGAGAGCACATTCCAGAGAGTGGGGGGCTGCAGCACCGAAGGCTCTGTCCTTTAAAAGACCCCGGCCTGGTGAGGGGGATGTCAAGTAAGCCTTTAACTGGGGAATGCAGTGTGGGGTGTAGGGAAGGGAGGATAAGACTGAACAAGTACAGGAGAGAAAGAGCATGTGGTGGTTTGTAGGTTAGGTGGGGGTGATGTAAGGCCAGGACTTGTTGCAGGTAAGAACTGTGAGTTCTGAGCTTGTGCAGAGCTAACGGGATATCACTGCAATAATCCAGGCAGGAGGTGATGAAGGCATGGATGAGGGTTTCAGCTGAGGACTCTGAGAGATGAGGTAAGACTCTAGAGGTGTTCTTTAGGTCGTAGAAAGAACTTCTAGAGATGGATCTGATATATGATGAGAATTAGAGCCTGGGCTCCAGGATGGCACCCAGATTGAGAACCCCAGAAAATTAATGACCTTTACCCATGTTAAGGTGAAGGTCAGCCCCTTTCAGGAGTCGTGACTTGACACAAGAGTTCAGTTGTATTGTTTTTCAATATGATAAAGCTGGATTACATCCAGATTTAGATGGCATCCAGGGACTTAATGAGAGACAGAGAAGTGAACTGACTAGAGGGTTTGGTGCTGAGATACAGCTGTGTATCATCAGGATGGCAGTGGAAGCTCAGCCCATGGTGGCAGATAGTCTGACCACGAGGGGCACGCAAACTGTGAAAAGAAAAGGTCCCAGCTCAGAGCCTGGTATTTGGGAAGGACCTGAATTTGTAAAATCCTTGTAGATACTGATGTGAGGATGTGTTGCCAGTTTAACAGTGATTGGATGCTTTCGTGAATATATTTCTTTTTTTTTTATTACTTTGTGTGACTTGTAATACAGGAACACTCAAAGCAGCATAACCTTCACACCAGCTGTTATAACGGAAGAAATTTGTATGTCTGCAGATTAAATAGGATAAATAGGGGGATTCTTCTTACAACACTAGATTTAAAGGATTACAAAAACACCTTTCGGCTGCAGCTCTTTCTTCCAGTGTTTTGCATTTTTCTGCCATGCCATTCTAGACGGTTAAATATAATGATGAATATTTTAGGGAAAACAGAGAGTAAGACAGATGCGCCTGTGCATGACTGTACCTGCTGGAGATTCCAAGAAAACAAATAGCAGAGGTTAGACGTTGTCAGGAATAATGCAAAGCCTGTATTTTGAAGTCTGCTTGCCAATCAAACAAGAACTGGTCCTGCTATGCGCTTTCAAAATAATGGTTCCTCAAAGTATATATGAGATGATTAGATTTTAAAAAAATTTTTTAAAAAATTCTCAATGTTCTTAATGTTTTAAAAGTATCTTCTTCTACCCTTTCTGTAAATATCACATCTAGATATTTAAGCCTCCAGATTTTATGTTTTTATGCCTGCAGCATTCCCTCATATTTCTCATTTGTCATTTTATGCACATTCCCCAACATCTATATTTGGAAATTTGGGGATTTTGTCAAAAAATCAGCTTTGGCTTTGCACAATGCTGGACTGAACTTGCTGAGTTATGGCTTATGTTTGGTTTATACAGTTTTGCTTCCTGTATGATCATAAAAAGAGAGCAGATAAATTTAGACATCTATTTAAAAAAAATCCTTGTGCAATAGCTTAAAACTATATAAAAATAGTTACACAAAGACCATTACATGGTTGCTGTTTCTGTGTAACATTACCAAGTTTTCGTCACTAGATGTCCCCATAAAGTCACTAAATATCCTTGACGCAAAACAGCTGTGTGGATTAAGTTCAGTCCACATGGATCGAAAGCGTGAAAAAAGCATTAGGTTATACACAGGCCCACTGTTCTGACACACCATCGCAGGGTAAAAGGCTTCCGCCTGGTTTTGTTGACGTGCGCGAGCGGTCAGCGTTCAGCAGGTTGCTGGCTGTCGACTCGGGGTAGCGCCTTTCACGGACTGTCAGCGGCACATCTGTCCTCCTCCTCCTCCTCCATCACGCCGAGTCTGATTCAGCACTTCAACACCTACACAGAGAACCAAGAATAGAGACAGGGCTCACACTGAGACTGGAAAGAGGAGGAAAAACAACTGCAGCCTGAGACCACCTAGTACCATCTCATCTCAGCCCATCATCTGCTGGCTGTATACATCAGGGAAAGTTTCAAGTGGGTGGGCTGGCTGCCTCTGTGACAGTCAGTCACATACAGAGAAAACCCACGAGATGCACATCCAGGTACACCTGATCCTACTCCTGAGACAGGCTGATGAAAAGTGTGCACGCTATCATCCCCACAAACAGATCTTTACATACACATTCTTACATCCACGCAGCTTTTACCCACAGACCCTCCAGTAGTGTTTGAAGATGTAATCACAGCGCCCGTGCTGGCAGCTAAAGCATCACAGGTCACCTTACACTAGGTGTCAACTGTGCGCGGGCTTTAATATTTAATGTCAGCCTTACATTACCTCCACTGCCCAGACCCTTCCACTCCCCACGCTCCATCTCACTCCCGAGCGTGAGATCACTCCGCAGCCCCCCCCCTCCCCCCCCCCCCCCCCTCCCTTTCAGTGCGCCCCCTTTATTTGGATTCAGTTTCGGAAAGCGAGAGGATGGCAAACATGTAACGGAACAACTGACTGCAAGCAGCAGCGAAGCATCAAAGGACGTCGGCTTTTTTACGACGTGCGAACAGCTGTCAGCAGAATACACTCAATAAATTCATGAAATTCGAAACAGCACCAAGGCAGCCGACCGTCAAGTCCAGCACAGCGGATGCGCGTCGGATCCAGAACCAACAGACAGGATGAACTGAGACATTACGCGCGAGAGGTTGCCACGGGCACGTTTGGGCTTGACCTCGGCGGAGATCGTTTCTTGGGACAAGCGGCTCGCACGGTGATGATGTATCAATGAAGAATGTCACTGCGACCGACTCTGTCCAAACAGGGTTGATGAAGCCCTCGGCGGTGTCATGCGTCTTGCCCCGCAGCCAAGCGCGCAACCCCTGCGGCTTCTAGTTCTGCTCCTCCTCGCGAAAGCGGTCCCCTCATCCCCGGTAATCTCCACTGGCTGCCCGGACAGGTGCGTGTGTGACGACCAACTTGTGGTCCAGTGCGCTGGGCAGCATCTGACCACCTTCCCGGTCAACCTTCCGCTGGCCACGCGGCAGCTCATCATCTCAAACAACCGTATCGCGGAGCTACCGCCTCTCGCGCTCAACTACCTCTCTGACCTGGTGTACCTGGACTGCAGCAACAACTCTCTGACGGAGATCTCAGAGTCCACTTTTGGGAATCTACGCAAGCTGGCCTACTTGGACCTCTCCTTCAACACTCTGACCCGGATCGAGGACAGGACGTTCGGCCCCTTGGCGAGCTTGGTGATGCTGAGGATGACGGACAATCCGGGGCTCTCCGAAATTCACCCGGACGCTTTTGGGGAGAACGCGGCCCTTCAGGTACTCGATGTGAGCCGAAACAACCTGACGGTCTTCAACATCACCTCCCTGATCGCGCTGCCCGCCCTGCGCTCAGTGGGGCTCAGCGGGAACCCGTGGAGCTGCGAATGCGACAACGAGGACCTGTCCTTGTGGGTCCATCTGGAGGGCTTCAAGTTCCAAGGTCTTGTCAGTTATCTACTCTATTTTTTCTATCAACAAAGAACATCACTTACATTTGCTTTGGTGAGAGGCCCCAGAGAGCCAGTCATACACAAACATTGTTACTCCATTTAATTGTTAGATAATTCTCAGTTACATAAACTGGCCTCCCGATGGAGGTTCTTTCAGTAACAGAACAGCATCCACTAATAAGATCAACAAAGTGCCCGCGCAGCACCTGTCATAAATCCAGCTGTGTTGTATGTCGATAAGCAACAACTTATATGAAGAAGCACTTTAGAAGTAAACAGACAAAGGGCTACTTTAATAGCTAAAACATTATGGTGAATCTAGAGGCTAAGTCATTGTTTATAAGCTGGAATTACTTCTGTTTAATGTGCAGAATTTTTTTGCTATTATTTGAAATCACTGAATTGAAATCCCCACGTCTGCACAGTTTAACCACAAGGCACTGATTCAAAATCAGCTATTGAACCCCTTTTGTCCCATCTTCTGTGGAATATAGTTTGAAGGTCATTTGATTTCGTTTAATTTATCTGGGTCTTAGTCATATGCACATATACATTAGAGCTTCAGGGGCCCTGAAACTTTTGCCTTGTTGGTTGGTAATCGAGATTGGTGTCCTTCTACAAAGTGACAGTCCTTTAACTGTGATATTTTTTGTTTTTTCACACCTTACATAATTAAAATTCTTCGTATAAGACAGAAAAGATGTTCAAACATGATGGCAAAATGGCAGCAAAGCTCTTCCTTTTGACTCCCTCAAGGAAAGAATGACTCTGTGTCTTTCTGAATACATGCAGAGGCTTAACTACTGGATTTCCCTCACACCATGTCACTCCCTGTCATGTCTGCATCTCAATACACACACACACACACACACACACACACACACACACACACACACACACACACACACACACACACACACACACACACATGCCATGTGGTATCCATGTACACCACAACTCTGCAATGTGCTGTTAGTTTGATGTAACTTCACTCCTCTCTCATCTTTCAGTGGGATGAGACGCAGGTGACAGCAGTGGAGCGTGGCAGCAATCAGACTATCAAATGACAAAGAGGGTGAAAGAAGATCGTAGGCAGGGACCCACTTGATTTGTCTTCTGGTGACTTTACTCATAAATTCTGTTCTGCTCTCTGCAGTGATGAAGGAAACAAGGCGTTTCTTTTTTGTTTTGTTTTTTAAATCTGAGAATGACTAATCAATCTGCTATCAGGCTCCTGCGTTGCAGGCGTGATAAATGGATCATGGCTCCACCATCAAATATTGATCCCCTTTGTTTTGTTGCTGTCAAGCTGATAAATGTGTCCGGTATTCCATCATCGTTCTTACTTTGAGTTATTATGCTCGTGGATAATGGTGTGGATGTGTCACTATGCAAAAGGGCAGCTGCTATTTATAGTGTGATTTACTGAGCAAGAAGCCAGCCATAATTCTAACACCACAGCTATAATACAACTGCCACGCTCACTAAAAAGGCATCCCCTGCTCTTTTCCCTCTCACACACACGCACACATACACACACACTATAGTTCATCATGCTCCCTGTGAAGCTCAGACTGAGTCCAAAAGGAGTCCTGCAAGAGCTGTCCCATTTTCCTGCCTCTCGTTGCCTTTTGTCTAGCTTAATTTGGAGTTGAGTCTCTTCCAGTGACAGCTGGCAGCGAGGGAGAAGGCGGACACATGGATACAAACATTCTCTACATCTACACGCAGCCTTTGGTAAACACTATAGAAACTCACACATACACACCCTCACAGGCGCAGATTTTACACACTGACTGATTTGTGCACTGAGACGTTTAAACACAGACAAAGCATACTTGTGTAGCTGGGGGGTGGGAAGGGGGTTTCTGGGGGGGGGGGGCGTAGAAAAACATTTTAGAGACGGTTGTTTTTCAGCTGCAAGCTCCGGCTCCCAAGCCTGTTATCGCTTGCCTGGGTCTCACCTGGCTCATGCAACATGGCTCGCCTTGTCTCCTCGGTTTAGGAAATGCATCGAGACCAAGCGAGAGACAGGGAGAGAGGGAGCGAAAGAAATAAAGCCTCAGGAAGGAACCAACAGATTCTCCTCTGTCTCGCCTTCCTGGCTAGATTAGCACTCTCTCAGCTGTTATATAAGGAAAGCGTCTAGAAATAGAGCAGTGTGGATGGGGGAAGGAGAGAGGGAAAGCCCTGTCCTTTGATGTCAGTCCCTGTAGGGGTATAGGGGGTGAAGCCATAAGGGTTTCCTTCCTAGCTGTCAGGCCTCCCCTCACACACACATACCTGCATATGCAAACACACACACGCGGACATGTGCATCCACAACCATTTGCAGATTCAGATTGGAAACTTAAATCTCATGCAGACACATGCATGTACAGTGCATTAAGTGGGAATGCACACTGTACGTATTTGTGTCTGCATGGAGGGCTGTCGGAATTTGAGCAGCATATTGTGTGAACAGTGAGCAGCAGCAGAAGCTTCTGAGAGGATCAGAGCAGACTTTGAATTTTCCCTGCTATTAAGCTTAGAGGAGCAGAGCCTCCTCGTGTTCTTCAGCTGCATGCTCATTTTTTAATCTTTGAGACACATAAGAGCTTCTCTGAGCATAAAAGCAGAGATTTCAGCGCACAGTGAATAATATATTAGGGGAAGCATACATTTCAGTGAGATGGAATTGTCGAGTAGTTTGATTGAAAGCGACGGTATGATCCCTGTCACCCTCTGTCAAATCACACCTCCCACCAACCTGAGCCTGTTTTTATATGTGTTGCCAGTGAGCAAGCGGAATAGGTTTAAACAGCTAAAAGTAATTGAGTGTGAACATTTGAAAACAATTAGGTAAAATATTAACTAAACAGTTGATATAAAAATGAAAGAAAAGCGATTAACAAATAGGTGAATTAGTCTAAAAGACTGAATGTGCAGGTTAAATGCAGAAAGAAGTAAACAAATTCAGCTGAACTATAACAATAAGCAAGTAAAAATGCTGTTGACTTGGAGTTGACTTGGAGCAATTAAGGGTGCAACAATAACGGCTAAACACCTGCATTTAATGGCCTTGTTGATTCATGTGAGGTCATCAGTGAATATGGACGTGGCCGATCTTCATTAATCACAAACACATAAAGAACTGAAAGAAAACAGTACAGTTATCTGTTATAATAACAACTTTCTTTCTTCTTTGTTTTTGGCAGAAATTGGGAATTAAAGAAAACCAAACTGGTTATTAGCCAAACTGTTACTTCAAACATCAGGATTGGCATCAGCCCAATATTTCAAAATCGTATGTGTCTCTTAAAGTAGTTTCATAAAAAGCCAATACTTGGAAAAGGAAGTGTAGATGATTTAAATTCTAGGGTTTTTTTTTCATGTCAAGACATAATAAAAATGATTTGGTCCTTAGCAGGTATTAAAATTTGGGAAACATAACCTCAGATTAGGATGTGACATATTACACAATGTCATTATTTGTTTAACAAAAATTAAGCTAAAATGCAGAATGCAGCTAGGTGCCGATAATGAAATGCACTTAATTGCAATGCACTGATCATTAGTTCTTAAAGAAGCGATTGCTGCTGCAGCCAGCAGTCTGGGAAGGTTTGTGCAGCCATGTCTAAACCATTCGAAGTCCGTCATTCTACAGCGGGAAAAATTACTCACAAGTGGAAAACATTCAAGACAGTTGTTCCCAGGAGTGGAAGTCGCAGCATATTTACCTGAAGTTCAAACTGTGCAATGTTTACAGAACCTGTAAAAAAAACAGGAGCTAGATCTCGGACTCTGAAGGCCTCAACTAGCATGTTCAATGTTAAAGTTCATGACAGTACAATTTGACAAACAGTTTGGAAAGGTTGCCAGGAGAAAGTTTATTATCTCTACAAAGAACATGTCAGGACAGCTTAGGTTAAAAAGCTGCATCCGAACAAACTACAAGACTTCTGCAACAATGGCGATATCTGGCGATAATTCACAGTGCCACATTTGGACCAAAACAGCACATCAGCACAAAAGCTGTAAAGCCCGGTGGTGGAGGGGTGATGACCAGGGCAACCTTCAGTCACTGCATCGACCATGAACTCGTCTGTATACCAAAATATTGCAAAGTTAAATGTGATGGTCATGGATTGGCTCAGACAAACTTTACTTATGTCTAATATTCCTGTATAAGTGTAAACATACCATAAATGTAAGCTGTACTTATTTCCTACTTTTCTATTAAAACAGAAATAAATGAGGGACTTTTTCACAGTACTGTATATAAAATGTTTTGACGGTCATTATTATTATTATTATTGTTTATTGTCATCTAAAATTGTCAGCTGAAATAACACAGAATACAGTAAAATGTTCATAAAGTCAAAGCTTACCTTGCTGAAAGACCAATGATCTCTGCTACAATGATCTGAATTTGCACACAATGACCACCTAATGGATCTTCACCCAAACTGTGCTTAAGGTCAAGGGCAAGATCACATTCATCATTCTCAGTCTATTTGAATTCTTATCAATTTGTCCAATACAGCAAACTATTGGCAGCTGGGTGACCAACTACATACGACATAAAGCTACAAAATTATAGGGTAATACATGAGTAAACGTTTTCATTGTCATTTTTCATAGTAAAAAAAAAGATTTATGAATGTTTTGTTATTTATCAGCGGTTTGTGCGACGAGATCACTCTGTTCAATATTAATGAGATGTTTATGTAAGTGTTGTGCAGTAAGTTTACAGTTATTCTCTGATGGTCATGTCTCGGTTTTCCCTGTTTGTTAGGGTTGTGTGAATGTTACAATTCCATGGCATGCATCTCACAGCAAAAAGAGTCAGGGTATTTTAAGCATGCTGGTATGAAAATGGGGCTACAGGAAACTGTTCCCTGTGCAGAAACTTCCAAGTCTTTTCATCTCTCCCAGTGGGAATTTCTCCTAGCACAAAAGCTCTGAAAAAACAGAAGCCAATTAAAAACAGTGGCCGCGTGGAGATGCCACACTCTGCTGTGCTGCACTTTTTTGCTCACAATAACAAAAGACTCAACCAGCTTTCAGGATTGTTATCTTAAAAAAAAGGCCTCTCTGGTGAGCTGCTGCAGGGCTCAACACCTATAATGTGGTGTGTTTAATTTTCATTCAGAGGGCTTTAAAATTATAGTTCATGCAGTTTTCCGAAAGCGAATGAACTCAATATTTTGTTAGAATATGTGGATTTCAGCAAGGTCTCAGTACTGTAGTGAAGTCATATCCAGTCCCTGATGATGAGAACCCTTATTATCTGTGGTTTCAAGCAGACACAAAGGCTCAAGTCACTCACTAATCCTGTGCAGGGAAAAGGAATTTGAATATTTCATCCATGATTTTTTCTTTTTTGTTAACATAATGCTGCATCAACAGCAGACTGTGAAGCGCAGGAAGCTCTTAAAGCTTTTGTAGTTTTCTGAAAGAAACAGCAACATTATTATGATGCAATTTGATGCCTTTTGGTTATTTATTTATTTAGAAGTATGAATGTGAATGAGTTTTGGATATCCTCGTCTCAGGATGCTGCCATTTACAAATGTTGAGGAAAACAAGTACAAACATGCTTGAATTATTCAAAAGGCTGCTCTCTTTAATGCCATATGTATGATATCGTACTTTGCATTATGTTACAACTCTCACAGCAAAGGATCTCATAGATCATATGCTAATTAGATGCAAAGGTTTTACACACATCTGCTGTACATAAGTAAAAGTACTGGATGAAGAACGTGTGAGAGAGAAAGAGCTCTGTGACAGACTGGCGACCTGTCCTGGGGGGAACCCGCCTCTCACCCTGTGGCAGCTGGGATAAGGTCCAGCCTCCCTGCGACTCTGATAAAGATAATTGGAAGAGATCGGAGGGATGAATGATATAGTACAGTGGAGGGGATAACAGGAGTTATATGTGTCCTGTCACATTTTCTACTATTTTGTACGTTTTTGCTTTTATTATTTGGTGAAGTTTTTTTTTCTGAACTTGTACGATCTGTTAGAAAGTTGAACCACTGATTTATTGATCATTTTTACCTGGTTTTTTTTTTGTTTGTTTATTTGTTGATGGTTCAAGCTATTACGATAAAAGTTGTGAGGTGTTTGTTTACAGTCAGCGAGGATAAGTCGCCTGGAAGTAAAACAGAAGGAGACCGTGTGATGCTGAGGCTGAGGAGCTTGAACAGCTCTGCTGTAATTAGTCCTATAGAGAAATCTTGATTTTAAAGCAGCTTTAACCCTCTGACACCAAGTGTCTCATATTTAATACATGTGTTTTCCAGACATCTATGTCATCAGTGTGGTTTGTTCAAGATGAACTGTGAGCAATAAATTGCACAAAAAATGCCAGATGTATCAAAAGCGATACAAATTGAAACTTATATTATACTATTATACTTTTTAAAATTTGTTAGAAGGTGTAATAAATTCTCCAGTTTAAAACAAACAAACAAAAAAAATTAATGGTTCAGGCTTTAGAGAGTTAACCACCTTATGATGTATTAATAAAAAGTTAAATTAATAATCATAAAGAAAACAATATTTTTATAGAAAAAGATCTGATGAACTTTCACTTGCCTTGTGTCTTAAAAATGTCACTTAACAGTAACAACATCGCTCGAGCGGTGCCACTCTAGGACAGCTGTGAACTGTCTGTGGTGCGTTTCTTTGATATTATGAAAGAAAGAAGAAAAAAAAGGGTTGAGTTCTAACAATAGAAAAATGCTGATATGTTACTTTGTCCCATGATTAATCCTCACCGTTCCTCCTTGGTGTACTTTTGTGTGACAGATGAGGGCCAGACGGTGTGCGGTTCACCTGCTGATACTCAGGGCCGTCGACTGGGGGAGGTGGGCATCCAGCTACGGACGTTATGTCATCAAACACTCGGCTCCTGGGACTACCTTTTCTTTGTTGTCATCGGCTTTGTCATCTTCGCTGCTGGCACCGTGTCGGCCTGGGTGATGGGTGTCATCATGGTGCTCTATGAGCGCTACATCAAGAAGAAAGACGAGCAGCTCGAGATGGACGACGAGGAAGAAAGCATTGAGACAGGCCGTGCTGCGAGCACCAGGAGTGGCCATGACAATGGGAATTTAAAAACTTCACATACTGTTTAAAACAAAAATCCCACCCCTCTCGCCATGGATTCCCACAGTGCCTCCTTTCAACTTCCACGACTGTCTGAGAAGTCTCATGAAACTGGGTCCGTTTATCAGGCTCAGATCTGTTAATGAATGGAACAAGGAATGTGTTTCTATCATTTTTAGTGGGCTTCCAGGTGTTGTTACACACACTGTAGTCGCCATAGTGGAGGTCTCCAGTCCTTGGGTAATACATAGACTATGTATGCAAATATATGACCACATATTTTGTTACTTTATGTGCAAAGTTAGCATTAAAAAAACTCAAAAACAACATATCTCAGAAAAACTCTGAATATGTTTTCACAGAGATATTTCTGACTGATCTTCACATCAGTTTAAAATCAGCTTTTCGAAATTTTAAAGTTTAAAAGTAAAAAAAAAAGTCAAGACAAGGCAAAGATAGAATCTTAAGCTAAAAGTAACCTACCCCCAGGTTACCTGTGAACTGCGACCTGCACTATAGTAACACCAGTTGAAATAAAGACGGAAAACGTGGCTTACAGTTTGTGCTTTGCTGATGATATTGTTAACACTGAGTAGGAAAAGTGTGTTTTTGTGACTGTAGTTGTAGTTTTTTTTCTCCAGATCAGTTTGTCTTTTTTATTGGTACATTTTTCACTGAATATTCCTCTAAGATGCTTTATTATGGTTATTTTATGGATGTACTGAGGAAAGCTGGATACCAGAACTAAAGATGTTGACGGCTTGCTTGACAGAAACAGAGCTCTAACTGGATTTGTAGCTCAGTGAAGGAGCACAAAAGTATTTTCCTCCAAAAAGACCTTCACCTACTGTCTACAGCTATTGGCCCATAGCTGTTTCACTGCACTGATATCATAAAAATAAAACTCATTGATAACGTTTATAGGAAAAAATATGTTTTGGGCACAGAAGATCTTGACCACTGTGAAAAATGAACAACACAGACTTTTTTTTTTATTAAAAGACAGACATTTGCTGATGTTGAAACCAGATTAGGGATGGGTATTGATAAGATTTTAACGATTCCGATTCCATTTTCGATTCTGTTTAACGATTCGATTCTTTATCGATTCTCTTATCGATTCTTTTTTTTTTTTTTTAAAAAGGAGAACACTAAGGTCGATTAGCTCAGAGCTTTGTTTTATATCTTCTCTTTGAACAAGATAGAAATTTAGGAGTAACATGGCCTTACAAACCCAACAGTGAGATCTTGAGAGATCCAGCCTACGGCTCTTCAATGGGGTGTCACAGGGTCCCCAGGAAAAAAAATTGTAAATGTAAAATAATAAAATAAATATTCTTGTGAGACATATCACATATTGACGGGGTCGGGTTATGTTAAAAAGTATAAATTGTTATACTTTGTTCATTGGTTCAAAGGTACCCCACACTTCTTTTTTTGTTTGCTTGTTTGTTCTTGTGTATTTTTCATTTGAACTGTTACTCTGCCAGAGTACTCATATTTACAAGATGGCATTGAACGCCCCATTGGTGTATCAGGAAAACTATTTTGTACGTATGTTCCTTGAAGGGGATTGAAGTCGTTCTTTTTTCCACCGCAGCGAAGGGCTAGGAGTAGGAGAGGAGCTGCTGTATGTTTTTGTTATCGAATCGATCTGATTGTGAAATAAAGCATATGCAGTGAGAAAGCAACTCCAGGAGTCATCCCTGCCTTAAAGCTGCAACATTCTTCTGTAGCAATAACAAAGTATAACATAAATTGTTCTGTGGCAATTACACAAGAATATCCAGTAATGTCCCTGCCCACAATTAAACACATTCACTTACCAAAAATCGGGGGCATCTGCTGTGGCAAATGGGTGCAAGCCTTTTACCACAAACTTAGACACTGCTCGGTGACATTAGTCTATCCTGGCCTGAAAGGAGACGCTACCGGTAGACTGCAGCGAGAACTGCCAGCATCTGAGCCAGACTCTGTCTGTCTCTCTCATCATGGTCACCTACATGCACAGTAATGGCAGGTCTTGTAATAAGGCAGATTGCGCTAACATAATATGCACTGTTAGTTGATTATTTACCTGCCGCATTAACGGGAGAGGACGTGCAAACGTTAGCGCTGCTGCTGGGTTGAGAGTCACGAGTCCGGAGCGGAATTAAAAACGCGTGTCATCGCGTGTTTTGTGAGCAAATGCTTTTGCATATTCGTAGTGTTTCCTCCCTTAAATGAAATATCTACTTTGCAAGTTGCCCTGTTGTCATCGGTTCTCATAAAGTATAATCAAACTTTTGAGCGTTTGAGCCGCTTAGGCGCCGTGTTTCCTGCCAGGTAAATGACGCTCCGCAACGTGGTGACGTCATTCGGGGCGACTGGAATCGATAAGGGAATCGTTTGCAAAAATGGCAAACGATTCCAAGGAATTGAAACAGTGGGAACCGGTTCTCAACAAGAACCGGTTTTCGATACCCATCCCTAAACCAGATGTGACAAGAAAGTGGTGGATCTGAGTGAGAAATGGAGGGACACTGCACACTCATACAGTAATGATTTATCAACCATAAGCCATCTCTAAAGGGGATCATGGTTTACAAACTAAACATCATGCTATATTCAGTAAGAATTGAAACTAGCATCTGAGACCATATAGCTATTATTTTTAAAAAACAAAAACAAACTCTTAATGAAGTCAAAGACAGCGGGAGTTGAAGGGCGGTTTTTGCCATAAATTATTAAACTGCTGAACTCCTGTTTGGAAACCGTGTAGTCGCCCCCTGCTGGCCAGGAGAAAGAATCAGGTTTAAGGCACTTTCACATTAGCTTCACCTTTTAGGAACAGAAGCTACATCCATCTTTGAGCAGCAATGCTGAATACATTCAGAGGTTTAAACTTATAAGGAAATTATAGCAAAATAATCCCACTTAAGACATTTAAGAGCTAAACAAATGTGTGTGGATAAGTTTAGACATCTAAGTCGGACAATTATATCTAAGCCATAGTCAAAATATCCATGCATCCATGCATCCATCCCCCCAGCTGTCATAGGGTGAGAGGTTGGACTGGCACAGAGAGACAGACAATGGCTCACATTCGCACCTACAGCTAGATTAGTTCTAAATCTATGAGGTAAAACCAACCATCAAAGAAAAAATGTTGCTGTTTGCGTTCCATTGTCTTAATACCAAGCTAGGCTAACCATGTACTGGCTTTATATTTAGTGGATGGATACAAATATGCCTCTCACTCAAAGAAAAAAGAATTAATCTTGTGTTACCATCATTTTTTACACGTCTGGTTTACAGCATTCGCTAAAAAATCCAATAGAAGGAAACTAGAAATGTTTGCCAAATCTTCTGTAGTAACTATAGACCCAGTTCAAATATACAAAACCTTTTCCTAGTATTATAAAATGCACAAACACTATTTGGTTAAACCATACAGCCATCTTATATAGAATTGTTTTGTTTACACTGACAGTTTTCTCAAGGACCTCCATGATGGCACTAACCAATGCAATACAATTGTGACACAGCTCGAGCTCCTCTGTGTAACATTATAAATGTCTTGTTGTCGCTCCACCCACAGGTATGACAGGAAGGAGAGGAGGAACTCCTTTTAAGGAGTGCATTTATCCCCGTGTATGTGACAGAGTGTACGATGTAGCTTTATGTGTGACTCTGCACAGTGAGAGTGTCAGTCCGTGCACTGCTGGGGCATGATTTTGTACTGTAATCCATCTTTCCCTTAATCATTAGCCCAGAAACAAACTGCTGTGGCCGTATTTGTGTTAAGGTTCTACAGTTGTTGTGAAGTGGAGAGAGCCCACAAATGCCAGCTGCTGAGATCTGTTTTGGCAGTGGGCCCTGCTGGATGGCGAGCAAACAGGACAATGTGATAAGTGATTTCTACTCTGTTGGGTTGGAGTGCAGTGTCCTATCTACTTCTGCATGCACTGTTAATGCACCAAAAAGCCTTACAAGGTGTGTATACGTTCATTAAAGAATGAAATAGGATTTCCTGTAACATACGAAAACATCCTATTTGTGATCATTTCAAAATGCTTAAAAAAAACAATTCTTTGTATTTTTTTGGTGACTGAGTTACTGTGCAAAGACAAACATTATTTATGCCCAAAATAGCAAACATGAACACTTGCTGTGCTTCAGGTTTCCATGTCACAAACCTTCCATGCTTTTAATACGTATCTGGAATTGCTCTCCATTGACCCTGACTTTAGTATCAACTTGCTTCAACCGAGACATCAGTCTGCCTTTTGTATGTGTACTGTTCCTGTCTCAGAATTATTCATTTGATTAAAGAAAAAAAAAGCTATGACAGACATGCGAAGGATTAGATCAGATACTTTTTTCCTGTGTTTGAAGTCAAATGTTTAGATGTATCCAAGTATAACATATCGCAGAATTGAAAGCAAAGCAGAAAAGAAATACTTTACTGAAGACATTTTGAGACACACACACATTAAATCAAATTAACGAGAGCCAAAATATATTTAGCTATACAATACTTTGTTTCCATGGCTTTGGGTTTAATTTGCTATTCTGATAATGTCAAGGTCGACTGAATGTGGCAGGATTTGTGTGCCGAAACATGTGAAGGTTTTTTGAACTGCAACTGCACAAACTGATGCCTTTCTGTAATGTGATCTACATCTAATAGTGAGAAACCTTTCTTCACACATTTACTGGCACTTCCAGTCACATATTCTTGTGAATTGTCCAAAAAGAAAAAAAAAGGTAGGGTTTTATATTTTATGTGATGAAATGAATGCACAATAATAGCATATTATAAACACAGTATTTATGGATGTGTCAGAGGTGGTGTCACAGGTATTTTATTTTTGGTCACCACAGGCCTTTCACGCGGCAAACACATGGCAGCGTTTGATGTACAAAGGTTTTCTTGTTGCATCCTTAAGAGCTATTAAAAGAAGAAAGCAAATATAAACCACAAACATAAGACAGTCAGAAAATAATTCAAATTTTTTGTTGCTTGTTTTCTCTTGAGAGAGAGAGAGAGATGATTGGAATTAATGCTGACTCATAACAGTATATATAATTATGCATGTACCGATGTTTTGATTGGTACATGCATAATTATATATACTGTTACTTCAGCAGTATGCTGAGATGCCTTCAGTCCTGTGCTCCTCATTGCTTCTATGGCTTTGGGTGGAATATTTGCATGGGTTCTGTCAGTAATGCATTGCTTAATGTGCAGGTCTATTCAGGTCTCCATACTAAACTCTCATGTATACACATACATACATAAACTCGATCATTTTGACTGTGAGCCTGTGTTAGTTTCTGCTGCAGCTTACTGATTAGGCCATGCGATGCCACAGGCAAGGGTGAGGGTGCAGACTGGAAATAGGATAGCTGATTGCCCCAATTCATGTCAGCACAGTGACACACATGAAATGACAAGGAAAACCCACGTCTCCCTCTCTGTTCGTTTACACAAGGTGAAGGTTTGCAAAGCTTGGTTTTGAGTAATAACAGCTTCCTGTTGCATAGCACGTGAATGAGCTGAATTTCAATATTTAAGTGGATGAAGTAAAATGGAACATTTTGCACTTGTTACACCCCCGTGCTTCACGGTCAACCCATACTTAGGCACACGTATGCTTAAACACACAGAGACAGAAGCCTTGGTTCTGCCTCTAATTTCCCCTTGGGGTAGAAAGACTCTTATTAACACTGATTCTGACAGCGAGTACAATAGTATTGTTTCGCATCACAAACAAAATTGATATAATTTGCTTTCTTTCTGGTGGTAAAATAAAGTAGAAAGCTTTCTCTTGTCTATCTGATGAAAAGCCAGCAGGTTATTAACATAGCATAAAAATAGGGGAAGACAACTAGCTTAGCTCTTGGAAGGAAACTAAGCTGGCATAACACAAAGGTAAAAATTTAAGTGGGTTTAAAAAGTGCTAGATGAGTTGATTAGTTAACTTTGAAGACCAGCAGTTTTTTAGTGTATGATGGTTACACACCAACTACAACTGCAG